TTGATTTGTATCCTATGATATGATCTATTTTAGAGTATGTTCCATAGGCTGATGAGAAAAAACGTACATTCTTAAGCTTTGGGACAGTGTGTTCTGTATATGTCTATTAAGCCCATTTGTTCCAGGGTCACATTCAAGTCCATTGCATCTTTGTTTAGTTTCTGTTTAGAGATGTGGTTCTCAACCTTCCTAATGCCTCAACCCTTTAATACAGTTCCTGTGGGTCACGACCCACACGTTGAGAACTGCTGATTTAGAGGATCTGTTCAGTTCTGTCAAAGGAGTGTTAAAGACCCTGGCATTATGATGTTATGGGATATTATATTGCTAAGACCCATCGAGGTCTATTTCAGAACATTTGGAGCATTTAAGTTGGGTGCATGAATATTTAAAATTGAAATGTCTTTTTCTTGTATTGTTCCTTGACCAGCATAAAGTGTCATTCTTAACTTTGATTGCTTTGAATCTGCTTGTATCTGAAAAAAGGATGCAACCTCTCCTTTCTTATCTCCATTTTTTTAAAATACTGCTTTCTATCCCTTAACCCTGCATCTTGATTTGTCCTTCAAGGCTAGGTGTGTTTCCCTGAGATGGCATATGCATGGCTTGTGCTTTTTCATCTAATCAGCTACCCTGTTCCTCTTCAGTAGGGAATTCAATCCTTTGACATTTATTATGCCATTGTGAAAGCTAAGTTTTGACCCTTACCTTCTACGTGTTTATTTTGGTGGTGGTCCATTGAGATGGTCAGTATTGAGAATAGGTCTAAGTATTTCCTGTAGAGATGGTCTTTTTGTCATGAATTTCTTCAGTGTTTATAAATCTGCAAAAGATTAGCTTTCTCCATCAATCTTGAAGCTTAGTTTAGCAGGATGCAAAAATGATTTTGTTTAAGAATGTTTAAGGTCAATGAATATTCTCTTCTGGCTTGGAAAATTTGAGTTGAAAAGTCTGCTGTCATCCTGATGGCTCTGCATTTGGCACTTAGTCCCATCAGTTTGCAGAATTTTTTTCTTTCATCTTGACTTCAGAAAAGTTCATTACAATGTGTCTTGGAGAAGCTCTAAGTGGAGATATCCTAGTTTTGATCTCCAACTAAATGGAGTGTGTCTGAATCTTTAGTAAAACTTGGGAAGTTTACTTTTATTGCATTAGATGCCTACATTTGAAAAACAAAGAGTGAATTAACAAATGCAAGAACCATTTTACAGAAATTGTGAAAAGAATAACAATCTAATCTAAAAACTTAGTAGAAGAAAAAAATAACCCAAATTAAATCAGAGATTAATAAAATTAAAAACAAATGAATTCAGAAAATTAATAAAAAAAGTTATTGTTTTTTTGAAAAAATAAATAAAATCTATAAACTTTTAGACAGATTAACTGGAAACAGAAAGGTAAAATCTCTACTAACCTTATCAGAAACGATAAGGGGGAAATAACAACATATGCCATGGAGCTACAAGAGATTATCTCTGAGTACCACAAGAAATTCTATGCCTAGAAATGTGACAATGTGGAAGAAATGGAGCAATGCCTGGAATCATATCTTTTCCTAAACTTAACCAAGAAGAAATAGAGAAATAGATCTCTTGAATAGACTGATTTCAAGCACTTAGATAGAGGAAACAATAAAAAAAACTCCCTAAAAAACAAAAATGCCCTCGTCCAGATGACTTCACACCAAAATTCTATCAAATCTTCAAAGAAGAGCTTATACTCATGCTGCAGAAATTATTCCACAAAATTGACAAGAAAGGAATCTTTCCCAACTTGTTCTACAAAGCAAACATTACCCCAAAACCAAAACCAGGAAAAAACTCAACTAATAAGGAGAACTTCAATTTCACTAATGTATATAGATGCAAAAATTCTTAACAAAATCCTAGCCAATAGATTATAGCTACACATTAAATAAATCATTCATTATGATCAAGCAGGTTTCATCCCAGGGATGCAAGGCTGCTTTAACATACACAAGTCTATAAATGTAATTCAACATATAAACAGAAGCAAAAACAAACCATATGATCCTCTCAATAGATTCAGAAAAAGCATTTGATAAAATTCAGCACTCTTTTCTAATTAGAGCACGTAAGAATATAGGCATTGTTGGCACATTTCTTAAACTGATCAAAGCCATCTACTACAAATCCACAGATAATATTATACTAAATGGAGTAAAACTGAAAGCTTTTCCACTTAGAACTGAAACCAGAGAAGGTTGTCCTCTATTGCTACTACTATGCAACATAGTACTAGAAATTTTAGCTAATACAGTTAGGCAAGAGAACAAAATAAAGGGCATCCAAATGGGGGAAGAGGAGGTCAAACTTTCATTCCTTGCCAATGACATGATCTTATACTTAAAGAACCCCCAAAACTCAACAACAAGACTCCTGAAAGTGCTAAAAAAAATACAGCAATGTCTCAGGTTATAAAATTAGTGTCCACAAATCAGTAGCCTTTGTATATGCTAATAACAGCCAAGATAAGAAGCTAATCAAGGACACAATTAGCATCACAAAGCGAAGAAATAGCAGTAGACATTACCAAATGGAAGAACATACCATGCTCATGGCTGGGAAGAATCAACATTGTTAAAATGTCTATACTTCTGAAAGCAATTTACAGATTCAATGCAATCTACATTAAAATACCAACATCATACTTTCTTTTTTTTTTTTTCCCATCATCAATATTTATTGAGCATTTACAGTGTACTAGGCACAATAGAACATACAGAAAACATTGTCCCTGCTCTTGAGGAGCTTACATTCTAACAGAAAAAAAATACACCTTTTTTAAAATGGCATTTTTGTTTGGTGTTTTCTGCAAAGTACTGAAGAAATAGTCTGTAGAGTGAGCTTTGGGTATAATTTAGCCCCATCATTATTTAGAGAAGAGAAAGAGGAAGAGAAAGAGGAAGGATTTTAAAGGCAGACAATGACAGACCATTCAGGATAGGTAGGGCTTAAAGGGAGATAAACACAATCTCATCAACTAAGGAGATTTGCTGTAGTAAAGAGGATGAGGGAAATAGTTTGTGGGATGCAAGCAAAGGAAGCAGGGTATCTTAGACATTGAGTGGAGCCAGAAAGATCATGCGGCCTTATTCCAAGTACACGGCCACCAAGTAGGAATGGTTGGTGACAAGACAGAAGGCTAAAAAAGGAAGGAAATCTTGTGCACCTGACAAAGAGAATAAAGGGTCAAAATCGAAGGCAAGCTATTAAAGAGTATCAAGAAATCCTTAAAAACCAAAAGTGATTTGGAAGCACAAAACTTACAGTTAATGCTACCCAATGTCATGATGGGCCAAGAACATTGTGGCTTCCTAAGTTAGAAAATGCCATATACCAAAATTTTAAATGGAACGTACTACTTTTATCCAATTAATCTCCCCCTCCCCCAGAGAAAATAAGAACTCATTTTTGGGGGGTACTGGGAGGGAAGAGAGGGGAACATGGGACATGGTTGGAAACAGCAGTTGTATTAGAATATTTGTTATGATATACTTTGTGTTTAAACTTGGTAAAAGCCCATTAGCTGCCAAGAGGGAATAAGGAATAAATTTTCAAAAATGTACAATTTCCTTTAGAGAAGTTTCAGAACCAAAAGACTAATTTACATGAAAAGCTGTAGAGAAAGTAGTTGAAAAGTCCATTCATAAAACTTTTATTCCACTTACATGAACTTAATACACGTGTTCTTAACAATTATGCTTGGATTGTTCATGAAAATTTCATAAGACATTTAAACAAAGCTAGCCATCATCTCAAGTTATTTCCCTGTTAACTATTTTTTACAGCACATGCATGTTAGGCAAGTATCAAAAAAAAAAAAAAATCACAAAAGCAAAAAACCTAAAAAAAGTTAAATACATGGGTTTTTTTGTTTTACTGCTGTGCCTGATATACACAAAGTAATGGATATCAAGCAATTCTTTTTACTGCATCTTTTCTTTTACATTTGTTCTTAGGTTGCCTAAAACATTTAAATACAAGTAAAATGAGTGTAGCAAAATGAAAGCAACAGCAGGTAACTTTACAAATAATGGAATGTGAACCGTTTCTGCCCTTATCCAGAGTAAATTGGGTCACAACTTTGTCTAGAGGAACACTTCTGTAGCTGTAGTCAAAGGTGTGCACTGAGATTGAGTATTCCACAGATACACACGGTTTAACACGTAGTATCCATGAGACATCTATTCCCACCACAGCCTGGTAAGTGCCCCAAACTTTAAAAGTACCCACAATAACTACACCTGTGACTGGAACCAATGATCCCTTTTATTCCCCACCAGGACAAACCAATATGTAGGCAGTTTTCTTTGCTCAGACATGGAAGCAGTTTTAACACTGGCCCTTGTAAAGCCACAATGTACCAAAAGTACTACGCCAAACATTTATAACTTGTATAAAAATTCCACATCCCCATATTGGCCACCTCAAGATGAAAACAGATAACTCCCTAAATGTTAACTGGCTCTACTCCCCTAATATTAAACATAAAAATCACATGGGAAATATAGAAATTCAAATAGAAGTAACATAAACCTGTCATAAATCGTAAACAAAAAAAACTATTTGTGGGACAGCATGGATGACAAAATGGTCTACTGTGTAAATTTTAGAATGAGGCAGACAAAAGTTGGAAGGCCGGTTAATTTTCCCCTCCTTCTCCCGCTTCAGCTTCATCTCCCTGGGTATCCGATGTCCACAA